AATTAAATCTAACTGTATTCAATTAAATCATTTACTTAATTGATTTAATGGACTTAGTTTTTGTCTCCTTATTTTGCAATCAATTTCATTCACATGAGGAAAATCTTTTATTAATGTTCACCAAATACAAGGCCCAAGTGCCACTCAAGGTAGAGGGTTACTGTGTGGCATTGTACAAGCATAACAAAGGTCAAGTGAAGCTCATGCAGCTATACAGGTAAGATAATGGCTACCTCTAGACTTGAAGAGGTCAAGATTGTAGTGATTGGAAAAACACAAGAGAATGAAAAGACTTTAGAAGAAACTGGAAACCCAATCCTAAACAGGGGACAAGGGATAAACAGTTACTCCCATTCAAAAGACTGGAAGATAGTTTGACCTATCTGCTCCTGTTAGGGGAGGAAAGAAAAAATATTAGTGAATAACATGCCAGAGTTCAAATGTAGACATTAGGATTATAGAGTTGAAGTAAAGTTTAGAAGGAACTGGAAACCCAATCCTAAACAGGAAACAAAGGATAAACCTCTACTCCTGTTCAAAAGACCAACGATAATGCCACCAAGACACAATGGGCTACTGGGAGTGAAAGAGAATGAGAAGACTTTAGAAGGAACTGGAAACCCAATCCTAAACAGGAATCAAGGATAAACCTCTACTCCTGTTTGAAAGACCAGGAAAGAATATGGATCTATCTACTCCTATTGAGAGATAATAAAAAAATAATAATAATTAGTGAATAAAATTTCAGAGTTCAGGAGGAAACATTAGAAGTATTGAGTTGAATTTGACTTTAGAAAGAACCAGAAAACAAAGGATAAACCTTGTTCCACTGTGCTTAGGGTGGGAAGATAAAATATATGAGACTGGCTGTTGAAAAATTCAATCAACACAAAGACAATACAAGACATGGTAAACTTAACAGTTTTATTTAAATTGCCACTCAATCTATTTTGAGTGGGACCAGAAGTACTTACAATCATAATCCTAATCAACATTATTGATGTTGTTATAAACAAACCTTTATACATGTTCAAAAGACCAGGAAAGAGTATAAACCTATCTACTCTTTTATAGTAGATAGGTTTATAGGTAGATAGGGAGAAAAAAATAGTAATCATACTTATTATAAAACCCAGGTTGTGTGTGTGTGTGTGTGTGTGTGTGTGTGTGTGTGTGTGTGTGTGTGTGTGTGTGTCTGTTCGTTTAGATATTGGATTGGATTTCCTACATTTTTCAACTGATTTTAACAAAACTTCACAGGACTACGTAAAATTACCTTGCGGTGGTTCTGACAGTGCCAAAAATTGGAAAAACACAATTGTTTTTGCACAAAATCAATTTGAAAACATGATTAAGAGGCATCGCTGTCACAAGAATGAAAGGAGGACAACTCATATCGAGTTATACTTATTATAAAACCCAGGTTGTTTGTGTGTGTGTGTCTGTGTTCGTTTATATATGGGATCAGATTTCCTACATTTTTCAACAGATTTCAACAAAACTTCACTTTTTTTTGGCAGATAGTGTTTCTTATTGTCTTGCATTCAGAATGCTTCAAAAATTTCATTTACAAGACAATTGTTTATAATAAAATTCTATTCAATCAGTAGACTCATAACGACTGAAAACAATGTTTTTGTTTGAGTTTGACCAATTCGTAAAAAAAAAAAACAAACAAAAAAAAAAAACTAATTAAGACATGCGTGTCCATCAACCTTAAACAATAATCTTTGTCAATTTTATTTTTCAGTTTTTATGATGGTTGATACTTGATCTATCTCTTACTGTTACATCCCCGGGAAACGCCGGGCTCTACTGCTAGTTAGTGAATAAAAGTTCAGATGAAGATGTTAGAAGTATAGAGTTGAAGTAGACTTTAGAAGAAATGGGTTAAAGATTCTGTTTCTGAAAATAAAACAACAAAACACATCATTCACTAAACTTAACTAATTTTCAAGGTGTTAGTTTCTTTAGGAATAGAAATGAGGACATTAATTTTGGATTCAAATTTTGTATTAGCCGGCCCGTTTATATAATGATGAATCTTGGATTATGAACTCTATTCTTTAACTTTACTGTCAGAACAGATTATGCTACCTCAACAGAATACTCCAATCTAGATCTCTTCAATAACGATCTATCCTGCTTATCCTTTTAACCTTCTTACCACCTACTCTTTTATTCATCATAACCATTTTCATGGCAACTGTTCATATTAGCTCCAGTCCTTAGTTCCACCAGTTCAAACCTTCTGATCTCTCGAATTATCACCATATTTGTTTCTTACCACTTTTTGGCAAAGTACTACAGTTTCAAATCAATGGAAAATTGGTCGAGCATCTTACTGCACATGACCTACTTTCAGATAAACAATATGGCTTCTGTTTCTCCAGCTCTACCACTAATGTTTTAACAGCTATCATTGAATGTGTCTGTCAAGCTTTAGATAAGAACAGTGAAGCTCAGGCTGTGGCTCTAGATGTCTCAAAAGCATTCAACAATGTTTGGCATGCTGGCCTTCTCCACAAGCTCAAGAGCTACAATGTCTCTGGATGAATATTTGGTTTAATTTGGTCATTCCTAACAAATTGTGCAATGAAGGTTATGTTGAACATGTACACTTCTATTTCATTTCACGTTAATCTAGGGTGGGGGGATTCCCCCCAGGGTTCTATCCTTGGACCTGGGTTGTTTCTTATCTTCATCAACAACCTTCCTGATGCCATCAGTTTCCAACTAGGTATTAAAACTGACAAAGTTTGCAATAAGCAATCACAAGAGAAAGAAAAGAACAGAGCAAATAAAATAATATTGAGCAAACAATATATCTAAGGCAAAGTAATGGTAATAAGGCAAAGCAAGAGAAATAAGGCAAAGCAAGAATAATAAGGCAAAACAATAGTAATGAAACAAAATGATAGTAATAAAAAAAACAACAGTAATAAGGCAAAGCAGCAGTAATAAGGTGAAGCAACAGTAATAAGGTGAAGCAACAGTAATAAAACAAAACAACAGTAATAAAACAAAACAACAGTAATAAGATGAAGCAACAATAATAAGGCAAAACAACAGTAATAAGGCAAAGCAGCAGTAATAAAGCAAAGCAGTAGTAATAAGGAGAAGCAACAGTAATAAAACAAATCAACAGTAATAATACGAAGCAACAGTAATAAAGCAATGCTACAGTAATAAGGCACAGAAACAGCAATAAGGTGAAGCAACAGTAATAAAACGAAACAACAGTAATAAGTCGAAGCAACAGTAATAAGGCAAAACAACAGCAATAAGGCAAAACAACAGTAATAAGGCAAAGTAACAGTAATAAGGCAAAGTAACAGTAATAAGGCAAAAGTTTCACAAACTAAGAATGGTGTTAACACACAAAAGTGTGTACAGACAAGCAATCACAGCATTCTGGCTTCAAGACAAGAAAAAACAGAACTAAATCAGATGAGACCGAGAAGTACGCTATCATCTGTATGCATCTGTATGTTTTGGTGTTTTGTTTAGAAAGTTGGGGAGGGAGATATTTTGGCAATCATTCTACCCTGATTTCCGCTCAGTGTTGATCATCTTTTACTTGTGTCTCTGTCATTGGGCAGAGTGCAACTCAGTTGTGGCTCTGTCCATGGACAGAATCACAGCTGAGGAAAATAGATACTATGAGGTGCCTGGTCCCAGGGAACAGATGCCTGAGGCTGCACCCACTCATTGCACTAGAGACAAGGTATCAATAGTCATACTGATGCCAGTGCAACTGATAGTTGCGGGGTGCTGTGCAATTTTTGTCCTTGGCCTAGGTGTACATGTTTGGGTTCCCCACGTTAAACCCAACCTTGTGTCACACCCTCCCTCAATAGGGAGACCAGGGTAAATAATATTCCACCTAAAATCGGAACCAACATAGTGATCACAAATTCTTTTCAAGGTAAGATTTTGTTTTCTCCTTTGATGATAATAAAAATTAAAATAACAGTATTATAAGTTTCTAAAAACCTTGTATGAATTGATTTCTGTCTGTAACTCATTAAACTCATTATAGGTTTCTAAAAATCTTGTATTAACTCATTAACTCTCTACCTCGAGTGGCTCACAGGTCTTGTATACAGTGAACATCATTGTAAAATAAAAATGGCCACCCTCCTAAAAGTGGAACAATGGGCATTAATAGGTTAATTTTTTTTAACTTTTCCAAAGTTAAGCAACGTTGAGCCTGGTCAGTACCTAGTCAGTACTAAGTTAGATGGGACCAAGAAGTGGCCTATCTTATTGGCTAGGAAGAAATCCCAGCATGTATTTGTGCATTTTGCCTATAAATTTGGGGAGGGGGTGTTTTTGCAGTAATTCTCATGTAGATTGGAACAACACTGTTCTTTTGTTGTTCTTTCTATATAATAACATTTTTTTTTCAGTTTTTTTTTTTGACTCTTAGTAACCCCTTACATTTTAGTGGCTTTATCCCCTTACTTGGGGTGAGGGGATCAAAAAGAAAATTTCACTTTGTAAAACTTTCTGTGTAAAATATTTTGTTATATTTTACACAACATTGTTTTTCATTCTTCATTTTTCATTTTTTAATAAATTTGTCAAAGTTTAAACAAGGCCACATAAGAATTAAAACCATCATAATTCTTTTAAAATAACTTAAGTAGAATAAATCTGCTCCAAATATAGTTTACAATAATATTATAATCTGGGATGTATTCTAAGTCTGACAATACCAGGTGAAGCTGTTAGTTTGAAATTAAGTTATCACCAAGCAAGAAGTCAGGCTTTTACTGGCATAAGACTCTTCCATCCTGGCTTTTTCATTTTGAAGACAACTTGCACGTTTCCCTAAACAAAGATTATGTTTCTTGTGAAACATTTAATCCGGTTTTATACTGACTGAAGAAAAAAAAAAAAAAAGAAGTGCTTGCAGTATTGTTGCTAACTTGGTTGAAATGATAGTCATTGCTAAATAGACACCAGGCTAACAATATATAATAGTATTTGTAGACAGATGCAGGCAAAGGGAGATAGATAGATAGATAGATAGATAGATAGATAGATAGATAGATAGATAGATAGATAGATAAAGAGGAACACTGTAAATAGAGAAAGATAGAGAGATTAGTACTTAATGAAAAGGAAAATCATAGAAAATGGAGAAAGATAGAGATCAAGACTTAAAAAAGAAAGAAAGAATGAAAAGAAAGAAAGAAAAATCACAGTAAAGAGAGAAAGATAAAGAGATTAGAACAGAAAGAAAGAAAGAAAGAAAGAAAGAAAGAAAGAAAAAAGAAAAGAAAGAAAAAAGAAAAATCACAGAAAATAGAGAAAGAGAGATTAGGACTTAAGAAAGAAAAACAAAGAAAATTTTTAAAGAAAAAAGAAAGAAAGAAAGAAAGAAAGAAAATCACAGAAAATAGAGAAAGAGAGATTAGGACTTAAGAAAGAAAGAAAGAAAGAAAGAAAGAAAGAAAGAAAGAAAGAAAGAAAGAAAGAAAATCACAGAAAATAGAGAAAGAAAGATTAGGA